AATATATATATATATATATATATATATATATATATATATATCAATAAATAATAGATAAAAATAAATAAATAACTGGTGAATTATGCTGTATTTAGTTATTCAAGTTAGTTGGGTATTTAGATAAACACACAAGAATTTGAAGTGTGACCTTTTACTGGTTGGTCGTTATTTATTTGATTCAGTTGGATCTTAAATGTTTTCCTAAAGTAGACAACTATGTGAGTCAAGTCAAAATTGGTTTGTGGAGTCTGCATGGGAAGTATCTCTACTTAATACCCATCAGTTTGACTTTCGAACTCAAAAGTTGGACTTTCTAATTCCCAACACCAGTTTTTTTGCTTTTTTTTTTTTTTTTTTAAGCAGTTTGAAAGTTTGACTTTCAAACCTCCCAAACACGTCAGATTTTTTGTGTTTTAGGTGTTCGAGAGTAGGATTTTCGAACTGCAGAAATACAGCTTCTTGTTCTTTTTTTTTGGTTGTCTGTGTGTGTATGTGTGTGTCTTGGGCTGTTCGAAATTTGATACAACTGGTGGTAAAATAGAATTAGAAAATGTCAAAAGTAGGAACTCAATATAATATGACCAAAATTTGGACCATGTGGTAATACCACTTCTTTTTCTCGGTTTATAAGCAAATTTATCTAAGGACTATTGTGGTTTAAAATTACTTTAGGAGGGCCATAATATCATAAGTTTCTCATACACATGAATGCAGGTGCATCTAAACGGACTGAAAAAGTAAGAACCTACAAAGATTCAAGTACAGAGAGGTCCGCGATGGAAGCCGGTATTTCTCCTTCTAGTCTGCTTGCTGAAAGATCCCTGCAGAGAAAGCTCCTTAGCTTGTCATTTATTGTTTATATGAGCACCAAAACATTAGTTATACAAAGGCTTGCATACAGTGATATAACTCTTGGGTTTTGTTCTTGGTTGCAAGTCAAAGAATCCCACTGGTACTCTTGTGGAAGACAAGGATCTCCAACCCAACTCTTGTTCTTCAATCCGAGTTTATCTTTAATATCCAAAAGTGCTGCAACTGAAAGGTTCCACAATTAAGTCAGTTCAGTGAAGGGAATGGTTCCAGGCCATAGCTTGGCTCATGTTAATCTCTTTTATTGTGAATTTATGGGTTTGTACACAATGAGATAAGACTGTTTACCTTCTTTCTTTACCTGTATCTTGGAAAGAGTTATTCAAGTTATGCATTTTAATATTTATCTTTTACCTTCATGTTTTTCTGAGTAAGTTTCTTCACTTGGCACATAGCCATGAAGGGATTTTGAACAATGAGCACAGACAATGTGGGACCTTTTAAACCATGTCTTTTAACTGCCCATAGTTCGCATTATCATCCCTGGATAAGTCGGAGTTCAGAGGTATGCAATTTAGTCTAGGGAAAATATAACATGCACAATGTGTCCTCTCACAGATTCATAACTATTTCTTAAAATGTATGGTGGAGTTAAACCATAATACAGGCATCCACCAAACTAGTTATTTCATATCTTTCTGATATATAGTTCACCTCCACCATCTGGTTTGAGAATGAATAGCAGAGGCCTGCCTGTGTATCTTACAGCATACAACTTACGCTTCCTCTTTTAGTGTATTCTTTCATGCTCCCTCCAAATCCCAGATCAATCTAATAACTGTGTACACTACTAAGCTCTCATATTGTTTATGACCATCCACTTAACTCATCTGGGAGAGTTAGTACTATCAAACATGTCACTAATTCAGTTGTATCTTCTTTTTTCTTTCTACCTATAGATTGGACAGTGGTAAATCCTCTGACCATGCTATTATGGTGAACATATGTAATGCTTTTCCTTAGGAAAGTGTTGAGTTAACCCATATTTAAGAAAGTGTTTGAGTTAACCCATCCCAGAAAAAGGTAAGAATCTCTCTCTCTCTCTCTCTCTCTCTCTCTCTCTCTCTCCATTTGCGCATCCATCCACATCATGTGCACGAATACATACCGTCTTGAGCTTCGGTTGCCGATGAAGAGGGTGCATTCGCCATGTAGATTTCGAACGCATTGATGATGGGTGGGAGATCAGAAAATGTGTATGCTCTGATGTCAACCTCATACTTTTGAGAACGTCTTTCAGGATTCAATGTACCCGACCAGTGCATGGTGGGAGACAGGAGGTTAAGTGGCTCGCCCCACCGTTCTCCATTGAGGAAAATGGTCAACACTCGAGTAGAGTTGGCAACGACCTGTGTTAAAGCGAAATAGAAGTTAAAGTAGAAGAGAGCATCAGGGGCCCATGTGGGTGGCTCCCAACTGATATTTATGCCGGTGCTTCTGTTTGAGGATTGTGCTGCTGTTTGCATGACCGCAAGCGGCGGTTGGAACTGATTATTTTGGTTGATAATGATGGTCGAGGAAGTGTTAAGGGCAATCCAGTCTTTGAAGGTGTAGGGAACCCAAAATCGATCGTAGGGGTCTGATCCGTACCTATTCCAAACAAAGTCAGCATAAGTCCTCCCTGTGTCTTGTCCCAACCCGAATATACATTGGAAACCTGGGCACGAACCCTGACGAGGCCAGGTCCAATCCCCCTATCCGAGTTCAGCAAGGTGTGAGTTCCAAAGAACCCAAACCTGACCAAGTTCGGGTTACATTATGTTAATGAAATAATCATTATAATAGTTATAACCTTATGTAGTTTAATATTTATGTATATCAAATGATGATATACGATTATGTATTTGCATATATACTACCATAAATAATTGAGATATGGTGATTTTTGGTCTTATTGAGGGTACGGCCTTTGGTAGAGAAGAATGGAAGAACAAGATCATCTAGCCCACCTCAAATAATTGTGATAAGGCTTGGATGATGATGATCATCTAATAATTATTGTAATAATTATTATTATAATAATATAGTATCTCTCTCTCACACACACTACACACACTATGTATGGGGTCAGGTTGGGTCGATCTAGACCTAGACCTGACCCATTGGGTTTAGAAGAGAGGCCCAGACATGGATCCAGATTCGGTCCACTCTTGGGTCTCCTTTGAGGGCCACATTTTGGAATGCTTGGTTTCAAAGAAGCCATTGCTAACCTTAGAGTAACAGTTGAGAGGCTTCCTGCATCGATCCGATGTAAAGTTGTGAGAGACCATGAGCCATTAACAATAGTATACATGAAGCTAGGCAATGGCCGAAGCTCTAACACATTTATGAAAGGTGTTCCATGGCCGGTATTCACCAAACATACCACCACGTGATCTGACTTAATCAAGCTGATAATCTCTGCCCAAACTTGATCAGAGAAACTCTGGAAGCTCACACTGTACCAGAGGTCCACCCCTAAGTAAAGGTCAAATTTGGGTATCTGGAAACTGGAATCGTAGTTTCCATGCACGAAGGATGCTCTTATCAGATATTTGCGATTAGATGCGAGGCTAGTCACATTGTAACAATTCCTTTTTCCCTGTGTAAATCTTCGTAGTGATTGATATTGCGATGACAGGGCAGAATTTAAGTTTCTCACGGATTCCCCGGTATCAATGTATTTGGCATCAGATGTGTAAGTGATCATGGTGTTTGGATCCATGTAATCCTGTTCCACATAGCCACAATCTATGCTTATGAATCCTGTGAAAGAATTAGATAGAAACTGTTAGAATTACTTAAACTAATTTGTGATAAAGATTTTGAAGGAGCTCATTTTGATTTAGATATTGCCCAGAAAACATTTAGTCATAAGTTTATGTACAGACTTAATGATTGAAAGACTCATGCAGAGCGTATAAACCTTTTTCATTGAACATTAAGTTTTAGGATTGTTGGGTCTCCAGTGGGATCCACCACATACAGGCAGTCTCTCGGCCAAGACATATTGGGAATTTTGTTATTTCAAAATTTTCATATCATCTTTGACTCACCTTGCCATAAAACATATAATTTAAAAGAAAACATCGATTTGAGCTCCTAAAACCTTACATATGATCATCTCTCACATAGACGGTTCAGAGTCAATATTTCAAAGGAAATGATATGGAGCAATTTTTTATTCCAAATCATTCCTTTTTTGCCTTTAAACTGATCAGAGGCATCGGCAAATATGCCCAACAATTTTAGATGAAGAATTCACCGAAGTCTTGATTATCAAATTTGGCTCGTCCCACGCCTGGATTAGCCCATGTGGCTCGAGAGCCAGGCTCAGGCTAGATGTTTCTAGCCCAAGGTCTGGACCAGGCAGTTCATGTCTAGGCCTCCTAGCTCAGCCTTGCCCAGCCATAAATAATAGAACTGGCCTGGTCTCAACTGGTCCAAGCCTGCCAAAAGGGTGTAAGCAGTTAACCTATCATAGGCCCAAGCCGGGTCAAGGCCTCATGCCTCCCAACCAGGCCAAGGCTGGCCTGGCCTAGGCCTTAACCTGTTGCGAGTCCTAACCGTGTCCTTGGTCAGGGTAACATGTGTTGACAATGATTTCACATGAACGCGAAATCTTTCTTCATTTCAAAATAATCAACTCGTTAAGAACTCGATTGATGTACCACAAAGTTATTAGTAAGTGGTATCCATTCTTAGTATTAATCATGAAGAGAGGAAAAACATTTTTTTTTGCACCTTACCAACATTTTTTGGTGCTGTGTGACTTTTTCTAGACAAACAATTTTCTTTGGAATAGGAGCCCGCCATGGATAGGACCAGACTGTATTCCACAACATTCTGTTTTTATTCTATTCAGGAAACAACATCTGGCATGACTACTTACCCAAAAAAAAAATCTAGCATGACTAACATATGACCAGAACAGGGCCTATGAGTGAAAAAAGGACCATTCAAACTGGCCCTTTAATGTCGGAGGCTAGTTCCACCAGCCACTATTTTTAGCTTGTCATTATGCATATTTTAATGTCAATTACCAACTAAATGTTTAGTGTCAGAACACTTTCTTAGCATCATTCATATTGGCTAAGTGAAAGATCTATATGAGAAGAGTACCTTCAGCCTTGATCAACCTTTGATGGGAGGTGAGGCTGATGCATAGCGGGGCATAGTCGCATGCATACATATGGGCAAGCGGAAAAGACCCTTGTACGAGACCTTGGGCAAGATGGCATGAATAGGTGGCTAAGTTGGTGGGACTTCTTCGACCACCAAGACCAAGAGCTTGAGGCTTCGAGTGCCAACCCAGCATGACTTGATGGGACATGAGCGTGACCCATGTGCAAGAGGCGTGACTGACCATGCACCCAGGATAGACAAGTCTTTTGACCAATAGTGGTCAAGTTTGTGATTTGAATTCAAATTATATAACTACCCGGGACATGGGCCCGTGTGATGGCTATTAGCCATGAAAGTGTAAGTGCAGATGTAGTGGGTGTGTTTGGCTATTAATAGCCATGTAATGATCATGCATATTGAATTGGCATGTACAGATGGCAGTGGAATTGTTGAGTCAGTTGACTAGACCAGCAACACCCTCCCCCTTAACAAGTCATGATCCATAGGCCATTGATGGTGTGATTTGGGCTAATGTTACATACATGGTGGTAGGTAGTTATAGTGGCGTGAGCTATAATTGTCATGTAAGTGATGGACGAGTGTGTGGATGAATTTGTAGGGTTATATAAACCCCTTGTGTAGACCTTGCCGGTATCTATTCACTGTATATGAGCAAGGTATGGGGCTATAAGAGCAAACTACAACCCTTTTCCATACTTGTTAAATACCTTGTGTGCTTGTCTGACTTTGTTCCTCTTTATGTGTATTTGTGGATGGTTGGCCTTAGTCGAGTTTTGGCTTTCGCTTGGCATTGCACAGGTTGGATAAGTGAAAAGTTAGCCTTTTGTAAATTGGTATAAGAGTGGTGTGGAAACCATGACTGATGGTGTCTTATCCGAAATTCAGCAATGCCTTAAGTCACCTTGAGGAGTAGTTGGAACAAGACAACCCAAGGAGTCCAAGATGCTAGGTTAGGTAGAAATGCACCACCGTGATTGCTCATAATGGCATCTTGGAGGCTAACCTTGAGGAAAGATGTGGAGCTTGTGATGCTCATATGTGAGGGTACGTAAATGACCTCAAACTTTCATAGACTCCTTTCAAGCGTGTCTTTCGGCCTTGCAAGGATGCATGGATCTTGTCAAGAAGCTCAAAGCATGAGGGTGCATGATCCTGGGGTGTTTGAAGGGGTGATAAACTCCAAAATATTGGAGAACTTCTTATGGGACATGGAGCCGCATTTTGAGATTGCTCGTGCCCATAATGGATATTGTGTGAGCAAATATACCACATACCTCAATGGCACTGTTTTAAAAAGCAGACCGCCCAATGCTTGGGCGTCCACCTAAGTGGATATCCTTAGACGCCCACCTAAACCCACCTAGGCGGCCACCCAAGGCTTGCGCCCTACCCAAGGCAGAAATGCAGCTCCTTGAGGGTATTTTTTGGTCATTTTTTTAATACTAAAGCGGTAAAATTGTGGGTTTTAGGTTCATTTGAAACTTAGAACCCATTAGAGGCTATTTTAGGGAGAGAAAATCCAAAAAAAAAAAATTCTACTGGGCCGCCCAAGATTTGGGCACTCGCCTAGGCGCTGAGCAGCTCGGACCCCCCGACCGTCTAGGTGCCGCCTAGCGCTTTTTGATACACTGCTCAATGGAGATGCTAAACTCTAGTTTAGGATGCAGGTCATGCAAACTTCAAGGCACAAGGTAAGCATTTGGGAGGCCTTGAAATAAGAGTTCGAGGATTGTTTTTTTTTTTGCCAAGCAATGCAACCACCAAAAAAGCTTTGACAAATGGATCAATGAGGAGGGACATGAAGAAGTTTTCATCTCTCATGTTGGACATTCATGCCATGATGAGGAGGATTGATTGTTCAAGTTTGTTTCTGGGTTTCAAGGTTGTGCTGATCTTGTTGAGGGTGCAAGCTATGTGAGACTTGACCACTAATATGGTGGTCGCTAAGAGAATGGTAGACTATATTTCTCGTGGTGATATGGAAATGATCCATGGGGTGGGGTGAGCCTTAAAGGTCCAACAGTAAGAGAGCTGCAATGCATGGGCTAGACCTGAGAAGGGGTATACAAAGAAGGAGAGGTACCTTGGAAGGCCTTCTCAAGCTGTTTCCTTTGTGAGGAATAACCCTTGAGGAGCTACCCACAAAAGCAGCCCCTCAAGTTCAACTAGTTGAGGAGGATGAGACCTCTGTATAAGATTGCTCAATGCAACTAATAAATACACTACAATCGGTAGAAACTAGCATTGGGGTTTGGGAGGAGCCTAAGCTAAGAATCATAGAGGTGAGGGTTGTAGAGACCGATAGTAGAAGGAACCTTACCAGCAATTCAGTGGAATTAAATAAAGACTCTCATGACCAATGATGAGTGGTGATGCAATGGAACATCTAGTTAGTCCAAGTGGGGCAAGGAAGAGGAAGTTCAGTAATTGGCATGAGCACCACAAGTACCACATTTATGCGGTAAGGCTGGATTTAGCCATCCTCTTGAGCACTGCATGTGGTGACATGGATCATGGTGGCTAGAGTGGACCTAGCGACACAACCAGTTTCAAACATGGCAATGGTAACCAATCTAATAAAGTGTGCACCACTATTGGGAACTGAGACTACCTTGATCACCCCTTGTTGTGCTGAACCCCCCACTACAACAGATCTAACACCTCAAAACCAACTCACCTTTCACTGGTAAATTGATTACAATAAAATCCATACTCTCAAGAATCAAATATATGTTGTAGTATATTTGAATATTATCAAATCAAGAGAAAGTAAAATAGAAGCTCTAATGGCACAACCATACACAAAAAGCAAAATCAAAGCACCATCAATATACAATATACGTGGTTCACCCAAAATCGGGCTATAGCCACAAGCAACCAGCAAGAAAATTAGTCACTATCAATGGAAGAATTACAAGTTTTGGGGTATGTAGAGATTGCCTTACAATGGAAGAGAAAAAGCACAAAATGAAATTTTCATACCACAAAAAAACCATCAATCGACTCACTTCTTCATTACCGTCGGCCAACACCATCCCTACGAAGAAACGCCGATGAAATCCGGTCCACTACAAGGCCACTATGAAACTAGGGTTTGCCTAGACCTCAAATATCTATTCTTCCCCAAAACTGATCTTCTTTCTCTCAACAACAGCCTCCCACTCAAAAACCTCACCTTTCTCTCACTATACAATGAAACTTCTATAAAAGTCATATGTTATGTGACGAAAATAGCCTTTGTCATTGAGAGAAATGCCATAGGTCAAACCTTGATGCAAAATCACATCCTTACCTTGCCAACAGTATCCAGTTATTTCTTTCTTGAAGAACTTAGAAAACTTAGCCAATGCTGCAAGCTCTCTAGCCCAACAACCTCTATGAGCATGCATTGCTCATCTTCTTTCATGCTTGTGCTTCTCATTCAAACTCCACCTTCAACACTTCCATTCTTAAGTTCTTGAGGCCATCTCACCTTCACACATACTCTAGGTGAATCATTTCCTACACACCTACAAGCACAACAGGAGTGTGATCTCATGTTTTCGAGATCCCTTACATAAGTCTCTCCCACAGGGCCTTGTTTGTGTTCAGAACCTTGGCAATACTTGTCCGTACTTCTC